GAAGGCCTGGCGCTGCCTTCTTGTCGCTCAATGGCTCTGGGCTGGGCTGGCCTAGCTCTCTGCCCGGCTGGTGGCGCGGGGCTTCTATGCTGTTTCCGAGGGTTCTCAAAATGTGTGCCAAAAAAAAGAAATCAAAACAAAACAAAAACCCTGCACATATCCACACGATAACCTGGAAGTGGTACCAGTTGATCAAGCTGGAAATAATTGTCATTTTTACACAACAAAATACAGGACAGGCTCGTCTCCTCGGTGGGACCCAGCATTAGCATGTTTGTTTTCCTGCAGAGAAACCAGGCTTTTCTAGCTGTATCCTACCTACCCCCCCACCCCACCCCACCCCACCCCACCCAGCCAGGACAAACTGGGACAAATTGCATCCTAGATGCCTGGACTACAAGATCTTTAGCAAAAGGTCCTTTCCCTCCACCAGCAACATTGTGGGATCTCTCTCTCTCTCTCTCTCTCTCTCTCTCTCTCTCTCTCTCTCTCTCTCTCTCAGAAATCTGGTGTCTCCTTTCTTCACCAAGATAATCCAGAATTACTTCTTTGCAGATCTGCAATTGGACACTGCATTTTTGCACTTCGCTAAAGAGGCGCTTCTGTATTCATTTTGGCCAAGAACTCCTCCTCAGGAAAAAAAAAATTAATTCGCCAATAATTAGAATCTCTTGCCTCCTGCAGGAGAAACTTCATTCCTTCAGGCCCACTCACTCTCCTTGTCTATGAAGTAGGTCTCCACCACACATCACCAAGACCCTCTAAGACAAATCCATCTTAGCTGTATTTGGATAGTAGGTTCACCACTCCTATTTCCCTCCCACCCCCTCCAGCCAGAGTACTCGATTTTTGTTTATTTCTTTATTTATTTCTGGGGCTGAAGTGTCTTACAACGGACTGGCTGCTGGTTATGCAGACCGTGGGATTGATGCACAGAGAGAAGTTACCTTCCGGCCGCTGCCCCACAGAGAAAGGCTGACTGACAAGCAGGGGCCGGTTGTGGGACTTGTGACGTCTCTAAGTCCTATAGGTGCAGGGGCTAGTGAGATAACCCGTATTGCCTGGTCACCTCTTTATTTTATTGGGGTATGCCTGGTAATAAACAGTAATATTTAATTTGTCAGAGACCACAAACCAAGGACGAGCTGGGAGGTGCTTATGTCTCTTGATAGATCCAGGAAGAAAAGCTTAGCCTTGAAAAGGGGCAGGTGATTTTTTTTTTTTTTTGGTGTGTGTGTTTAAGAAATCTCCTTGAAACTCTTCCTCTGCGCTCCCCAAGCCTGCTTCAGGGCCTCTGTTGTTGCTCCGGGCTCTTCTGAGCTGGAAAGAAGAGGTTGAATTTTTGGAGGTAAGTATCTGTGGATTAAAAACTTAGCATCGGTGTGTGGGGGGTGGGGGGAGGGAGTGCTCTCAATTCCCACCCTAGCCAGGCCTGGCCAAATCCGCCCTCCCTTCTAGTTTGCTGTTGTTGCCGGACAAATTCAGAATTTAAGAATTTAATCTCACCTCTTCGTACCACCTGCAAGAACAGATCCCCCGCCTCTCCCCCCCCTTCCCTCCCCCCCCAATCCCTGCCCCAAACCCCAAGGAGATTTGAAAATCTTGATGTTTTTGCTTGGTGGGCCTATACCATCGCAACGCAAACTCCGGGATGGATGGAGAAATCCTGTCTGGGCTGTTAGTTCGGGAAATCCAGATTTTCTCTCTCGGGAAGGGCTTGCAAGGTTATTTATGGGGATTAATTTTATCCGCAAATCTCTGTGACTGTAGAGGGATTGGAGAGGTCTTTCTGGATAGCCCACTTCGAGCAGCAGCGAGGTGAGGATACAGGCTCCTCTTGCTGCTATGTTCTGGAACCTTCAAGTTGTTTTTTTCCCCCCTCCTCTCTTTCCTTTTCCACCTGAACTTTTCTCCTTAGCAAGCCCAGAGGCCTGGGAGCTGACATTTTAGAAGACTGAAGACATTTCTTTTTGTAAAAAGTAAGATAACGAGCCTCGACCAAGGTCTACCTGGACGGTAGAGCATTGGGGTCGTCCACGCCAGTTCCCGCCGTGGGGTCCCATCTCCAACTCTGGACAATCCCCCCCCTTGGGAATTTTGTAAGGATGGCCTGGTCTGGCAATTTGGGGGTGCAGCAGCCAAGGGGGGGGCTACCCTGTTGGCTGGGGTGTGAGCCGTAGGGGTATTTCTCTTCCTCCATCTCTCATTCTCTGGATTTTGGCTTGCGGCGGGTTTATCTCAAATCAGGGCCCCAGAAAAGATGCAGACCAAAGGGCCCAAGAGTGGGGAACAGAATGGTTCTGTGCCAGAGGAGCCTTTATTCCAAGTGTCCTAGTCTGAACTCAGTCACTGCCGAGGGACCTGCTAGCTTTGTATACACATTAGTGCAGACCGCTTTGACTCACCCCACCAACTTGGGCAGGAAGAGGAACGCTAGGAGGTGAAACCCCAGCCGGTCCCCAGTGACTGTTTGATTATTTTAACAAAATTAGACATAGCCTATGCACCATCTATGTCAGCCAGGATGCTCTGGTGGCCTTAGCAGTGTGTGTGTGTGTGTGTGTGTACACACGTGTGCGTAGGGGTGGCAGGGACTCCGTGATTTCTTGGCATCTTTGATCCTGGTTCCCATCCCAATGCACCTTCACTCAGACTTCACCCCATTCTTCCTTGAGAGTGGGGGTGAATAAACTGTGTGTTGGGGGGGGGGCTAGCTGTCACAGAAGCCAGTCCTACCTCAGAGCAGCCCCGGTGGGGTCACGCAAGTGTGCATCTGAGGTCAGCCCTGGAGAGGAAAGCGAGCAAGTGCAGGAGCTAGCCAGATTGCTCTGTGTGTGTGTGTGTGTGTGTGTGTGTGTGTGTGTGCATGCATCCAGGCTCCCTTCTCTGCATGGTTGAGACACCCCAATCGCCTTGTCTCCTGAGCAGCAGGCAGCCGGGGCTTGCAATGCTGAGGGCAGGATTTTCTTCGCAGCCCTGGCTGGCTGCGGGTGGTGGGAAGGGGCCCGGCAGGGCAGGACGGCCAGGTCCGGGAGGGTTTGAGGAGTCTGGTGCAGATGAGAGTGTTTTGAGAAATCGGGTGGAAAAATGGAGACGAGAAGGTGAAGGAGGTGGTGGGTGAGGGGGGGAGAGCCCGGGAGGAAGAAGGGAGGGAGGAGGAGGGAGGGGGAGGGAGGGAGAGGGAGAAGGAGAGAGAGGGAGCGAGAGGGAGAGAGAGGGAGAGCTAGTTGGGTAGGCAATTTCAGTACTTTGCAGGCATCAAGACAACCAAACATCACTGCTCAACGAGTTGGCTTGCATTTCAGAGAGAGAGAGGGGGGGGAGAGAGAGAGAGAGAGAGAGAGAGAGAGAGAGAGAGAGAGAGACTCTTACCTCAAATTCTGGAACTCTAACCCCGAAAACAGCACTCAGGGAGGACTCAGACAATTCCCTCTCTCCCTCCCTCCTTCTCTCTCCCTCCCTCTCTCCCTCCCTCCTTCTCTCTCTCTCTCCCTCCCTCTCTCTCTCCCCCGTTCTCTCTCTGATCGCCTAACTTTCCTTCCCCGGGGGAGGCGCGGATCCGGGCGGCGCGGGGCGCGGAGGTTAGATGGTTTCTGGGCGCCGCGGGCGCCGCGGTTCCGCGCGGTTCCCCCCGCGGTTCCCCCCGCGGTCTCCCCGCGGCGCGCGGGCCGGGCGCAGGGCGAGCCGGGCCGGCGGCGGCGGCGGCGGGCGCCCCGGGGCGCGGCGGCCCGGAGGCGCGTTCGTCCACCAGCGGAGCCCCCGAGTGACCATGCCCGCACCCCCGCCCGGGCTCCGGCGGCTGGGCTAGGACGCGGCCGCGGCTCCGCCAGGCGAGGTAACCACCGGGGCGGGCGCGGGGCGCGGGCGCGGGCGCGGGGCGCGGGGCGCGGGGCGCGGGCGCCGGGCCGGAGCGCGGAGCCCCCGCGGCCCCGGGGCGGGCGCACGCCGGGCGGACGCGCGGCCTCGCTCGGCGGAGCCTCCGCCCCGCGCCCCGACCTTCCCCGGGCGAGAGGCGGCGGCGGCGGCGGGACGCGCGCGGCCTGGTTCTGTCAAACCGCATTTCCTTCGTCTCCTCGCCCGCCCGGAGCTCCGGGGACCGGGCCGGGGGCGCGGGGTGGGCTCCGCCCGCGGCCCCCCGAGCGCGCCGCGAACCCCGGCTCCCTCCCTTTGTGATCGCTGCTCCTTCCCCCAGACCCCCAAAAACAAACCCCGGCCGGGTAGGGTGACCTACGGTGGCGGGGAGGGAAGGAGCCATTTCTTGCGCCTCGTTTTTAAAGTCTGCCCGGTGCTGGGTTTGGTTTTATTTTGGAGGGGGGGGGGGATGTGAATTCCTCCTTGGGAAAGTTGGGGTGTCTTAAAACGATTTTTAAAACACCCCGTCAGGCCTGTTACTGATCTGGAAGAGGAACGAGGCGCCCGGTCTCCGGTGGGGTGCCCGCTCCCATGTTTGGTTTTGCAAGAGGCGGGTTATCTAGGCCTCCGGCCTACTACAGAAAAAAAAAAAAAAAACAACCCTCTCTTTTGGGGAGTCTAGTTCAAGACAATCACAAAGAGCTCCGGTGGGGGGGAAATTCCCAAAAGGACACCGGGTTTTTGTTTTGTTTTTGGGTACTGTGTCCAGTGCCTTCCAAAAATACCCACCACCTTATCTTCAGTGACTCTTCCAGGAGTTCAGACAAATTTGACGGGCAGCCTGGCTGGCTTATCGCCCAGAGCCTGCGCTCGCTGGCCGGGGAGAGGTGGGGAGAGGTAGGCCTGCTCTCCTCCCCGGCTTCTGCAGAAGACTGTGGTCGGAGAGCAAAGTTAATAAATAATAAGTAATAATAGACCTGAATAATAATAATAAGTCGTAATAGAAGCCTCCTTCAGCTTTGAAGGTGCTGGTAACTGGAGGGGGGGTTCAAACGTCTCCCCTTTTCTGGAACGCACTCTCCAACTCTCTCTCCTCTCTCTCTCTCTCAGAGCAGAACCTCACGCGGGCACTGGGCCCGGAGGATACCATGGCTGACTCAGAAGAGGGCTTTGGCCTGCCACACACGCCTCTAGGGCCCGACGCGAAGGATCTGTCCTGTGATTCCAAACCCGAGAGCGCGCTGGGAGCCCCCAGCAAGTCCCCTTCCTCCCCGCAGGCCGCCTTCACCCAGCAGGTAAGGAAGCCTCAGTCCCCTCTTCCAAGGTCCTCTTCCCGTGGGGGGTGGGCCGCGGCCACCTACCCCACCCGTACCCCTCTTCCATCTTTCTCTCCCACAGTATTTCAATCCACTTTATGTGGCGGTGGCTGATTCTGTTTCTAGAAGGGGACCCTCTTTGAAATCCTAGTGGAATTTTGGGAGAAATCTCAGTTATCCGACTATTTCCGAGGCAGCTAACAATGGCCCAGATAATTTCCTTCCGGGCTGCACCGTTCCTACAACTGGCGCTGAGAAGCGTAATAAGGGTTAGGTCAGCGGCTGCTTCAGGCTGGCGTGAGCGATGAGTTGACCCCTCTTTAGATCTCCCTTACCCCTCACCCTCTGCCCGCCTCCTCTGCGGCCTCAGACCCGTGCACAACGATTTGTCTTGTAGTTCTGGCTGGCTGTTGCACTCTGGCCGAGGGCAGCGCGCTGGCCTGGGCCTAAAGCAGCCCAGGAGCCCCAGGCTATGCGGGCTGGAAGGTGGGCTGGAGGAGAGAGGGGAGGGAGAGGTGGGAGAGGACACTGCCCAGAGGTGGGCACAGCAGATGCTTTAAGTGGCTCCCCCCAAAGCCCTGACAATTTTAACATAAAAGTCCCAGGATATAAAGCAGGCAAGTTATCCAAAAGAGATATAGAAATCCATACTCAACGCTAAAACCCTTCTTGGAGATTCTCCTCGAATTTTTTTTTTTCCCTCCCAGGTTTCATGAACTTGGTACTGTATCTCTGTAGAAGTAGTTTGTTGCACACAGATTTTTCCCCCCCCTTCTAAAAAAAATAAGCGAATCCACGTTCTAGGAGGTTACCAGTCTCAAAATGAGACTTTGTATCTGAAATGTTCAAATTCGGCATGGGTGGTTGAAAACAAAAATGCCCAGAGGCTTCAAACCGGCTCCTTTTAATTGTGAGACTATGCGGGACAGGTCGGGGACATTTAACAGAGACCTTGAGAATTAATTTTGGTGTTGGACTGTGGGAACAAATCAAACATTTTTTAAAGTTAAAATTGCACGTATGTTTAACATTCGCATCCGTTGTGGTTGAATTATATGTATGTTTGATATTTGCACCTACGGTGGTTGAAAATAAACATACACAGTCTTCATAGAACTAGGTGTATACTTTGCGAGTGGAAATCCCGATGGATGCCCACCTGAAAATATCTTGGGTGGGGGCTTTCTAGATCCAGGAGGTTTCATTTACTCAGAAGTCCGTTGAAATTGGCCGTCTGGGCACGGCGGGGTGGCTGGCCACGGGTGCAAGCTCTGGATGAGTTTTTCCATGCATAGGCAGTGAGGCCCTGTGGGCTCAAAGGAAAATCATCACTGGATATTTGGAAAGCCGAGTTTGCACCAGGGTTCCGGGCGGGCACAGGCTTTCTCCAGAGCCCAGATGGCTTCAGCGGGGGGGGGGGGGGGGGCTTCAACCCCTGAACTCACAGTCTCAGAGAAGGAAGAGAAATGGGGGGGGGGCACGAGAACACTTTTGTGGGGAGATTAGCTTGACGCAGAGTTTTTTCTTTCTCTCATTTCTGCAGGGCATGGAGGGCATAAAGGTGTTCCTCCACGAGAGGGAACTCTGGCTGAAGTTCCACGAAGTGGGTACGGAGATGATTATTACCAAAGCCGGAAGGTGAGGTGGTCTGGAGGGACAGAGAGGAAGACGGTGGCCTCGCAGGGAAGAGACAGGAAGAAAGGAGAGGGGACAGGGAGCAAGAACGGACAGAGAGAAAAATGGTTAGACTCTTTCCAGAGAGTTGAAGGGAGAATTCTTTCACCGATTTGCTCAGCAGGATAGAGGAAATTGTTCAACTCCAAAAACATAGCAGGGAGGCCCAACGCTCTGGATGGATTAACCGTCTGAGAGAAAGAAGAAGAAAGAGGGGGAGACGCAGAGAAGGGCTTTGGTTTCATAGATAGGGGCTGATCTTCGCCCCCCTCCATCCTCACCCTCCCTCCACCTAGGAGTAATTCCAGGGTCTCACCCAATTGCCAAACCCAATCAGAAGGCAAATCTATCTATTCGCTAGCTACCCCTCTCGTTGTTTATGGAAAGCAGGCAAAGCCTTTGAAACTGAACTAGAGCCCAGCTCGAAGCACAGACTCCGGCAAAGACACAGCGGCTTGGCCAAGCTGCTCGCCCGCCCCGTGTTCCCCTCCACGTTCTCAGGAGCTTTAGTTAGCAGGGCTGGGTGGAGGCAGTGGGTGGCAGAGTCCTGAAGATCGGGATCTCAGTGAGTGTGCATGTGTGTGCAAAGCCTGTGCATGCATGTGTCCAGGCTTGGGGACTTGGACACATGCCTCCCCGTGCATGTCCTGGTCCCCCACATCCAGAGGGGCTGCAGCCCCCCACCCCCAAAGCCAACAGGCAAAGCCGGTGAGGCCCACGTTGCTGGGCGGTCGGGCGGGCGTGTGAACCGGGAGGGCGGAGCCGTCTCCAAACTCCGTTCTCCAGCCCAGGCTTTCTGCAATAAACCGACAACAGTGACATTTATTATTATTTCAAATTAAACAATGTCAGCTCCCTCCCCCGACTCAGCCCCAAAGTCTGAGTGGAACTAGAAGGTGGTGTTCTGTTTATACCCGGGGATGTAAGTCCTCATCTCATTCCCACCGGCCCCTAGGAAGGAACAACCCGCCGGCCATGCCCCCCCTCCCCAGCCTTAGCCGAGGGGATTTAACTATAAAAGGTCTGGGGAGTCTCTGAGCCTCTGCTAGGAGGGATGATGCCTCCAGTCACCCCCTTCCTGTGGCTGCTGATCTTTTTGCCAGTCAGTCTGGCATTCTTACTTTTTGGGGGGGTGCATCCTTCACAAGGCAGAATATGCCCCGGAGGAGAGGTGGCCTCCAGGGTTGCTGCATCCTGAGCCAGCCGGATCCCTGGGCAAGCCCAAGCTCTTTCCAAAACCTAATCTGGATGGATTTGTGATTTCTTCATGGAAGGCCAAAATGTTCAAGTTCTCCAAGGAAGTCCTGGATGGGGAGGGGGGGTCTCGGAGGAGAAAGTGTCGGGACATCTAGGAGTAAATCCCTCCCCGCCAGACCCCGAGACGAGACCCCCAAATCAAGTCGACAACCCAGTCTGTAAACCCTGCCATTTAGGAGATCCCCAAAGTCAGGCCGGCAGGCAACGCTCCCCTCCCCAACCCCCACCCACCCGTGCACTAGGCCCGGCCACCTCCAGTCTACCCACCCCGCTGCAGTCCCTGGACACGGGCAGCAGCACTTGATTGGAGGGAGCAAGGTGCCAACTTTGCACCCAAGGAGCCTCTGCTTTGCTCCCTGGAAACTGTAGGCCGTGGCTCTGAGAAGAACCCAGTAGGTGCTCAAAGTGGGGGGCAGGTGGGGACTTTCAGGACATCTTGAAAACCAAGCCTACGTGAGCTGCAATCCCCGGGCTTCTATTTTCCTCCTGGATACCACCGACAACGTTGGCCTCCTCTTCCTCCTTCCTCCCATTGCTTTCCTCCTCCCGTAACTTCAGGGAAAACCCGGGGTGGATATCCAGAGAGTGGACTGGGGATAATCTTTCTTTGTACATGTCTCAGAGAATTGGTTTGTGTGTGTTCCTTTTCCCGGTGCAAATGTATGAAGATGCTTTTCAGAGCCGGCATTCATTTCTGCCTCTCCTCATCTTCTCCCCCAGGAGAATGTTCCCCAGTTATAAAGTGAAGGTGACCGGCCTTAACCCCAAAACCAAATACATCCTTCTCATGGACATAGTGCCCGCGGATGACCACAGATACAAGTTTGCAGACAATAAATGGTAGGTGCGGAGTCGAGTCGTGCGCGGGGATATGAGGCTCCCTCCCGCTTCATCCTCCGGTGATTGAACCCCAAACCCAGAATATTTGAAGGCCTACTATGTGCCAGAGATGTGTGCCTGCCAATCCTGCTGCTTCCCTCTGACCCCTCCAGGATGGGGAACAGATCGCAACCATCCCCATTTTATAGACCAGAAAACCGAGACCTGAGGCAGTGCAACCTTATCACTATATCCATGAGTTGTGTGCATTTATATTTTTTAAAAAGGGTATTGTTACCAAGTGCTGGACATATTTCTAGAGGCATAAACGCATTTACAGTTATTTTTACGAGTTACCTGCTTTGAGCATGCCCTTTTTTTCTTTTTTAAATGAAATCTCAAAATTGGCCTCATGGCATTTGAGTTAAGAAGGCAGGAGAGGGGAGGCTCATTTCTAGGGTCTATTGTTTCTACAACTGCCAAACCAATCCTGTGGATGGAAAGGAGGTCGGAAGAGAAGTCTCCCTTTGAAAACATTTAAGGAGTTTAAGATTTTTAGTTCTTTTGCACATTCAGACTCGGCTGGTGTGTGGACAGTAAGGGGCTGCTGGAGAGGAGGGGAGGCAGGGTACTAGGGGACAAACGGACTAGAAGCAGCTAGCTTGCCTGGGTACTGGGTCAGCCAGGATCGTAAACAAAGGAGGCGGCTCAGGCTGCTTCCAGATCATCGCCAGTCTCTTCTTGGCCCTGCTCACACCTGTCCTTGGCATAGGTCTGTGACTGGCAAGGCTGAGCCCGCCATGCCCGGCCGTCTCTACGTGCATCCGGACTCTCCGGCCACCGGTGCCCACTGGATGCGGCAACTGGTCTCCTTCCAGAAACTCAAGCTCACTAACAACCACCTGGACCCATTTGGACATGTGAGTACCAGTGGTACCAGTGGTATGGCAGACATCCGGACTGCCCCTCCCCACTGCAGGCCTTTTCTGATTTCTTTCCTCCATTTTTCTCTCCCCTGGGTTTCTTCCTTTCTTTTTCCTCTCCCCTTCCCTTTTTTCTTCTTCTCCTCATAATAATCTCCTTTCGTCCCCTCTCATTTTCTTTACTCCTCCCCTAGCTTCCTTCTCTTTCCACTTCTCCCTCCATCACCCTCCTCCTTACAAAGTACAGCCTTTGTAGTCTTCCTTGTGGTCTAACTTGGAGACTGTCTGTCCCTGTCCGGGCGGCTGGAGAACAGGGCCCCAGATTTTCGTGGCGTAGGGATAAATCGTGCCACGCATTCCCGCCGCCGCAGTTCTGCGGGAGCTGCACAGCCAGTCTATGCCCGAGTCCTCTTCAGCATGCTGAGTGGAGGGAGTTTCCTCTACTTTACCTTCCCGCTTCCCATCCAGGTCCGGCTGTGGCAGGCAGGGCTGGGTGAGAGGGCGGTGGGCACAGACCCCTGCCAGAGCTCACAGAGGGGACCCTGGCACCCGCGGCCCTTTTTAGTCTGATCCTTGGTGTGCTGATCTGCAACCAATCACCCCCACCCCACCCCCAGCTTTCTCTCTCCCGCCATTCCCACAGCACGCACACCGACTGGGTGCAAAACCTGGGATCTAGATTAGCTCTAAGAGAAGGGTCTGGTGATTCCCCCTAAATCTGTCTTCAGGATATGCCAACCCCAGGCACGGTGTGGCAATTAGTGGGTTCTCAGTTGGGTATCTCCCCTCTGCCTCAAAGGAAAACAAAGAACAGAGGTACTCCTCCTCCTCCTCCTCTTCTCCTCCGTGTTCTCCTTCTCCTCCTCCCTCCCCCTTCTCTCTGGGGGGGGGACCCTCTCCAAATCTCTTGGTTGCAATTAGAATTTATTAGAATTGATCAGCCCCTGACTTTCGCATTCAGACTCTTCAGGTCCGTTTCTGGCGTTTCTAACGGGCAGGTCCAAGCCCGGAATGCAGGGCCTCCTTTGTTAAAGGAAGTGGTGCCGGGGAGTGGGACTTGAGGCTGTCTCCCTGATTCTTTGTGTTCCACCGGCTTGACTCTCCAGAGCGATGCAGGCACCAGGTCTCCAGTTTGGGTGGGACTGGGATTGGAGTGAGAAAAGCCCTGGGGCAGGGGTGGAGTGGGCAGCAGGGGCTCAGTTCTGAGCTCGCTGCTGGGATCTGGAATAGAGGACTACAGCGGGACCCTCCATCCAGGGAGAGAGCTCCCCGCTGCTCTAGGTCTGGGGGACCTGATCGCTGCCCCCCCATAAGGACCTAAGGGGGGCGCTGAAAGATTTCTAGTGACCACAAACCTTGTCCTTCTTGCTCAGTTTCTAACTTGTGCAAAAATGATTTCGGGTGTCTTTTGTGTGTTTGTTTTTGTTCTTAGGCATTGGCTTACCAGGCTTGGGGGTATACCTGTCTCTACCCCAAAAGTTAGATTTAAGTCCCTGAGAGGAAAGAGGGTAAAGTGGGTGAAGTTCCTGCGGTAGCCCAGGAGTTGACCCCTGAGTGGTAGCAGGGTGGACTCTCCATCTGGGGTTCCACAGCAACTCTTACCTTACCTCTTTGGAGGGGGGTGCAGAGCTCTGCCACCGATTTTGGGGTGCGCTGATGCATTTTAGGTCTTCCTGAGCAGCCCAGGAGACCCAGAGTGAGATGCCGAACCTCCAACGCGAATCCACGACCTCCCTAATGAAATTAGGAGTCACTAGATCGCCCTCCGCTCGCGTCCCCATGCTGTCCCCAGCCGTCAAAGCAATTTGGCTAAGCCGGGAGGATGGCCGGGGCGTCCGAGGCTGGGGAGGCCCGCGGGGGCCCAGGCAGCGTCTCACTGTCGCCAGCCCGCCCGGCGTCGCTATCGGCCGGGAAGGCAGCCGGGGTCTGGGCCTGAGATTAGAGTCTGAGGCCGGCCGGGGTGTGTGTGTGGAGGGGGCAGAGACACGGGTTTGCACCCCTCCCTCTCTGAGATTGCTCTGGGTGGGGGGTGGCCATGCCCAGGTCATCAACTCAAATAATCAAAGACATGGAGATGATCGCTGCTGCTTGGGTTTTCGTTGCTGGGTTATAAACCAGCCAGATTCGGGGTAGGGGTACCCTTAAATGCAGCGATGTGTGTGCGGGTGGGAAGGTACCTATCGGCAAGCGGCGGCGGTAACAAGCCGTCAAGACTTAGCCCAGGGTGGAGACTCAGGTGCCGTGGAAACCACAAACCTGGATTAAGGAGACCGAGGCGCTCACCTGTAAAAAAAAAAAAAAAAAAGTTCTGGCTCCAGGAAAAATAGACAGCCCAGAATGGTTGCTCCTCCTCCTCCTCCTCATTGTTGTCATGGTAACAGAGCTGAGACCCTGCTTGCCTCCCCCCCCCCCCCCCGCCAGGAAACACCCCAAGAAGGAGATAGACCTCTCCATTTCTTCTATGGCAGATTTGGCCACGGCACACCAGTAGATCATTGCCGATGGTGGATTCTGCCAGCAACATGGCCGAAGTGGGGCTTAGAAACTGCCCGAAGGACATCAGCCCAGCCCCTGCTCTGATGGGGGGGGGGGAGGCTTCCTACCTAGGGTTGGTAAGAGGCCAGAAGGCAGCCCCTACCCCCACACCCCAATATCCACCCCTCTCCAGTGGCTCCAGTTAACAACGGGCCAAGACTTGTGTCTGTCCACCCTCACCCCGCCAAGCCTTAGCACGACGTGTTGGTCAGGGAGCCAGCGATTTTAATTCCGTTTGCAAGTGTCCTTTCCTTGTAGTATTTTTTTCCTTGTAGGGTTTTTTTTTGGGGGGGGGGTGTAATTGGTCTGTATGTATGTGAGCTTGTTCGTGTTCTCTCTCTCTCTCTCATTCCAAAACTGCTGTCTGGAGCTCTCCAGATACTTCTTCCTGTTCTGCTCCCGTGCTGGGCGGGGAATGCCCTGTGCCGAGTTAATTTATTAAACAAACTTTATTAAGAATTTTGATTTACTGCCCTGTGTGTGGCTTGGGTAGACTTCTGGAATCGTACCTTGGTTTTTGTGTTTTTCTTTAAGTTGGAAATTGTCATTTTTGAAACGTTCCTTTTCGAGGAAATTGCTGGCCCCTTTTCACAACAGGAGGGGGGGTGGAAACGAGTGTTTTTTAGAGGCTTTTTAACGAGGCTCAGGGCAGGGGTGGGGGGTAGGGGTGGGGGTTGGGGCAGGGATGTATCTGGAAACAACAAAGGGAGTTTTGAGTTTTTTCCTCCTTCTGACCTCCTTTTCTCTATGATTATTATTTTTAGATTATTCTAAATTCCATGCACAAATACCAGCCCCGATTACATATCGTGAAAGCAGACGAAAACAATGGATTTGGTTCGAAAAACACGGCCTTCTGCACCCATGTCTTCCCGGAGACAGCGTTCATCGCTGTGACATCTTACCAGAACCACAAGGTAAACTGAGGCACCAGAGGACCAGCACGTGGGGCCACCTGCTGGTTCCTACGAATTTTCTGGCTTTTCCAAAGTTGTTTCTGGCTTAAGGTGTGTGTGTGGGGGGGGGAGACGGTGCGGTGATTTGAACCCATCCTCAGCCCTACCGGCTACCCCAGCATGCTGGCCAGGGATACAGCTTTCGTCTAAGGATCACACATTTGAACTGTATTCACAGACGGCAGCACACACACACACTCAGTGTCACTGAACTTGTCTCCCGCTGGCTCAGCTGGCTAGCCAAGCCCTCTCCTCCGAGCTCACCTTTTCTGCTTGGGCTAATGTCCCTCCTCCTCTCCTTTCATGTCCAGGGACCATTAGGCAGGTGGCTAACATCAGAGGGCAAAGCGTGTGTGCGTGTGTCCTTGTGCGATCAGCAGCGTGGGAAAGACCTGGAGACAGCTTGGGGGTGGGGGTGGGGAGAAGGGGGACTCTCGCCTTCCTCTCTTCTTTACCTGCGTCCTGCTGCGTCCCCAGCCAAGTCTCAGGGCCTGGCAGGGGAGCCCAGAGGAGGGTTAGTTCCCTAAAGTCTCTGGTTACCCCATGAAGGTCTTTCCCAGATAGCCCCCCCCCACCTCCACCAAGGGCCCATCGTGGGTAATCTCCAAATGCAGGTTGTCAGTGGCCTGGCCGATCCTTTGATGGATGGGTCTTTCCAAGATCTCCGGAGAAGCTTCCTTCCCTCCCCAGGAACACCCCACCCCGTTCCTCCCCCAGCACCATTGCTCATTTAAAGGGGAAGGGAGCCTTTTCTGGATTTCCACTTTCTTCTCTTCTCCACGCCCACCCTGGGCTCCCCCAGTGGGGTTCAGTGTCCTGAGAGTTGCAGAGGGATTTTATGTCCGTGGGAGTGTCAGTCCTGGAAGTCTGTCCCTCCCAGGGCTGCTGCAAAAAACAAAAACCAAAACTCATGTTTATCTCTGTGGAGGTGGTATCACCCCAGAAAATACCCACCAGGCCGCCGCTGCATGTGGGTGCTTAAAGCGCCCAGACCTGCCGCTGGAGCCCAGAATAAACCAGGCCTTTTTCTCTTCTAAAAATTCTTCCAAGGAAAAGTTCAGGTTCATGGAGAAAGGACAGGAAGGGCGAATGAATGAAAATAACAGCCCCCGCCCCCCCAAACTGAGTGTTTGGATCCTGGCAAGGAAGGGGCCGGTCTAAGTTTTATGTGTTCAAGACCTGCACTTCTGGGTAGTCTGTGGCATGCTCTGTCTTTATTGCTTTGTTGAAATTTAATTTTCATATGTAACATACAATTTCTGTTGTGCACAATACATCATTTACTTATGGTGGGGGAAGCTGGGGATTATATTCAGGTTCTTAAACATGCTAAGCATACACCACTGAACTATACCTTGTATTTGCTCTCTCTTTTAAATGCTGGTGATAGGGCTTGGACTCAGGACCAGACACTGTTCCTGAGCCTTTATTGCTCAAGGCTAGTGCCCTATCACTTGAGCCACAGCTCCACTTCTGGCTTTTTGCTGCTTGCTTTACGAGTCTCACAGACTTTCCTGTCTGGGCTGGCTTCAAACTGTGATCCTCAGATCTCAGCCTCCTGAATAGCTAGGATGACGGGAAGTGAGCAGCCGGCACTGGACTCATCCTGGATTCTTGAAGGGTACAAGTTCATGGACATATCAGTAAAACTATCTCTGAAACTCAGGCATAGCCACCCTCCCGCCCCCACATCCTGTTTTTTGTTTGTTTGGTTTTGGTTGGTTCTGGGACTTGAACTCAGGGCTGGGGTGCTGTCCTCTGAGCTCTTGGTATACAAGGCTAATGCTCCTACCACTTTGAGCCACAGTGTCACTTCCGATTGGAGATCAGAGTCTCATAGTGACTTTCCTGCCCGGGCTGTCTTCGAACTGCAATCCTCAGAGCTCAGCCTCCCGAGTAGCTAGGATGACAGGCGTGAGTCACCAGTGCCCAGCCCAAATTCTAATTTTAAAAAATTATTTTGCAACGTATTTACTGAGAGAACTTCAGCCGTGAAGGCTGCCTGCTCCTTGGAGAAGCCAAACACATTCCATCAAAATGTGACCAGAAATACACGATCGAGAAATGGTGCGTCCATCTCTCTGAGCGTGGATGTTTATCAGGGGACCACAAAATGTTCACCCGAGGGAATTGTGGTAGTTTTTGCTTCATTAGTTGGCCAGGAAGCCCAGCTGAGCCGCAGATAAAAGAAATCAGTCCAGCCAGCTAAACACAAAACAACCACCACCAGAATTTTTTTTTAAAAAAAAAAACAACCTTACTTTTTTAATCTTTTCAAAATTATCTTTCAAGTAGTTGTCCAAAAGGGTTTCCCATTTTAAATGATGGATGATGCGTACTGATGCATCTTGATTCATGGCTGGACCAATCCTGGATATGGAAAATAGGCATTTCCATGGGGCAACATTCTGTCCTAGATGGAGTAGAATAAGCCATGCTTGCTCTGTGGAGGAGCGAGTACCCAGGCAGTTACACTTTTCCAGTCAAGTTCAAGGGCCCTGGACAGACATCACCGGCCTGGATATATGATGTGTGATTTAAATAAGCGAGCTGAGGTCGTGTGTGATTTGTGGAGCCGGTCTCCTCGCTTTATTGGCCCACCTGGCCGGGGTGTTGAAACCCGTGACTTCATGAGTGAAAACTAGCCGAGTTCTTTCTTAGTCTCTATCACCTGGGTACAAGGGTTGTGAGTCTAACTGCTCAGATTCAGAGCCTCTCTTTCTCAGATCCAGACTTCGGGTAAAAAAAAAGACTTAATTTAGCTTCCCTGTCTGTGAAAGTGGGGTATTTATGATCCAGCTACCCATCTTTGAAAAATATATAGTAATATGTAATACACGGCCCGGTCTAGAATGAACACTGCAGTTCTAGCGGGGATGATGGCGGCCACTGGTTGCTTACTTAATTAATGTCCGTTCACTCCCAGAATCCCCGAGTCCAAAAATTGTAAGATTCTAGAAGACTCTTGCCCGCTCCGTGTCACTCCTGGGCTATTTTAGAATGGGGAGCAGTTGAGGTTTCAAATAAATTCTTATTACTGTGGTTGAAAAAAAAAAAAAGAAAAGAAAGAAAAACTACCCATGTTAGTCTTTGTGGTTTTGTTGGATCTTTCCCCCATTGAGATGTTCGTTCCAGGACTATTTGTCTAGCATTTTGCTTGGGATAAATGAGCAGTGTGAGGGAATTAAATATGCCTGGGATTCAACATCCAGGAGAATTTACTAGAATCTAGGCCACCAATGCTTTATTTTTGGAGGGGGGAGGCGGGAAGGGTCAAAGCCCTCAGTATCTACCATGGGGATGTCTTTTGCTATGTGTCCCTGGGTAGAAAAAGGTAGAGAGAGGTAGGTACGTGGTTCCACACTTTACTTTTCCTCTGATATAAAATCGTTCCCACTGGCTAGACGTCTTTTCTCAGTCCAGCTTGAAATTCCAAGCTGGATTGGAGCGTTATTTCCCCAGATGGCTGACAGCTTGGGGAAAAAAAAAAAAAAAGATATTTAAAAACTAGACTCTTCCCCTGGCAACAACATTCACTCCGTGAAACACGTTTTTGTAAAGTTTTCAATACAGTTGTCAACAGCTCCCAGAGCTATCCCGGAGAAATATTTAGGTGCTAAAAGCGATCACGTGAGAATTCACTTTCCTGCTCTGACAACAATGTCTGTGTATGCCAGCGAGTGAGCAAGCCAGCGACACACGCACGCACGCCCCCTCCTATTAGCCAAGTTTCCATCCAAAGGCATTTACCTCCTGCCTAAATTATTGTGAATGGATCTCATATTTATGAGGTATGAGCTTTCTGGTGAGGACCAGGAAATGAACCTCTAATAGAGAGACATAATTAAGATTTTTTTTGGGGGGGGGCGAGGGGCTCTCATGAGGTTTTTCTTTTTTTCAAAAGCAAGAATTCACAACAATTATTCTCATTAATTTTTACAACCTCTGTCTCCCCAGTTGGAGCTGGTATTTATATTTGTTGGCTCTTACCGCTCGCCAACCCCCCCCACCTCCCTGGCTTTCCCGGATATCCGGTTTTACGCTGGTTTGGGAGAGCGTGCATTTGAGCAGGTGGACCCGTTTGGACTTCTATGAGCTGAGGTGCAGTCTGGGTAGAAGGCAATTCAGACAGGGTTGTAGTATTCACAGATGGATGGAGAGCACCCGGGGCATGTTTTCATCTACGCGTAAGCTTATGGGTAAACATTGCTCAAGGCTAGTTCCTTTTCTGTTTGATTTTGGTTTTGTGCTCACCCCGGGACTTGAACTCAAGGACTTCTACCTCTCCAAGCTGGTGCTCTACTACTTGAGCCACAGCTCCACGTCTGAACTTTTTGGCTGATTAATCGGAAGAGTCTCCTGGACTTTCCTGCCCAGGCTGACTTTGAACTTGGATCCCCAGACCTCAGCCTCTTGATTAGATTGGATTATAGGCTGTTTCTTCCTTCCGTACTTTTTAGTTTTTCAGTCACGGGGCTTGAACTTGGGGTCTGGGTGCTGTCCCTGTGCTTTTTCGCTCAAGGCTAGCTCTCTACCTCTTTGAGCCACAGCGCCACTTCTGGTTTTCCGGTGGTTCATTAGCAATAAGAGTCTCAACAGACTTTGCTGCCTGGGCTGGCTCCAAGCCATGATCCTCCGATCTCAGCTTACAGGAGGATGATAGGTGTGAGCCACCCGTGCTGAGCTCAGACTTCTTTTTTGGCAGTCCTGGGACTTGATGCCAGAGCCTCGCAGGAGTTCCTTGAAGCCCAGAGGTGTGCACGCAGTGGGATCATAGGGGGAAGGCTGTGTGCTCTGCACGGATGGGCCCCAGCTTCCATCAGAGAGGCCGTCATGGAATGGGTTTTTGTGAAATTCTTCAATAGCCATGCATCTCTTCCTGAAACCAGGAGAGGCAGCTTTCGAATTCAGAGCTTTCTGTCACAGAGTACACTTGACACCACCGTTTTCTTTTTGTGGAAGAAAACACAGAAAGACAAATCATAGGTCAATAAAAAGGAACTCGAGCCAGGTGCCAGTGGCTCATGTCTATCATTCTACCTACTCAGGAGGCTGACATCTAAAGAATCATGGTTCCAAGTCAGCCTGGGCAGGACACCAGAAACTACCAGAAAACTGGAAGTGAAGCTGTGGCTCAAAGTGGTAGAGTACTAGCCTTGAACAAGAGTTCAGGGACAGCGCCTGGGCCTTGACTTCTAGCTCCCTGACTGCTGGTGGCTAATGCCTGTAATCCTACTCAGGAGGCTGAGATCTTAGGATCCTAGTTCAAAGCCAGCCTGTGCAGGAAAGTCCATGAGCCTCTTGTCTCCAACTAACCACCGAAAGTCCAAATGAAGGTATAGCTTAAGTGGTAGAGCACCAGCCTTAAGCAAAAAGGCTAAGGGACAGTGCCCAGGTCCTAAGTTCAAGCCCCAGGTCTGGCACACACATACATATACACAAGATATTTTGATTTAAATTTATACACACACACACACACACACACACACATATAGTACAGGATTCAGAGGGACTCTGAATGACCGAAAGGGGACCCAGATCACCCCACACTGGTGCTGCAATCCCATGTCTGAAAACCGAATGTACACCCAACTTTGGCAAACACTTCCAGCCAGGTCCACCTGTATGCCCTCTGTCACCTGCACCTGCTACTGAACATTCACACGGCTCTAATACGTGTGGACGGCTTAAAGTTCTGGGCCTGGAACCAACAAGTTAAGGAAAAAAAGGCTCCATTCACAATAGTGAAGCACTGTACCTTGCATGTGGGTCTGTCAGGCAGAGCCCTCCCGTCCTGGCGTGAACTCCAGAGCCTCTTTTCCTTTTATTCCACACTTTTCCACCTGGGCCCACAAGCTACCTCTACCCAAGTCTGACGTGCACATGAACTGGTGCACGAAAATCAAGATGTGCATGCTGTTCCTCCCATATGATAACCACGTCCACACACACAGCTTGCCGGGGGGCAGGGACACGTGTGGAAGCGTGGGTTGTGTGTGAGACATTAAACACTCATATACCCCTGACCGTGGGTGGAGACAGGACTCCAACTCATGGGCAAAACCAGATCTAGCTCCTCTACCCCTTGATTATTTGTTGGTCCTGGGCCTTAAACCCAGAGCCTGGGAATTGTCTCTGAGCACTTTTTTTTTTTTTTTTAAACTCAAGGATGGTGTGCTATCATTTGAGCCACAACTCCACTTCTGGGTTTTTTTGGGGGGGGGTGTATTTCATTGGAGATGAGAGTCTCGTGGCCTCTTCTACCCAGGCTGGCTTTGAACCACAATCCTCAGATCTCAGCCTCCTGAGTAGCTAGGATCACAGGTGCTAGCCACCCACACTGGGCCAGTTGCCTTCTCTTGATTGCCTGGGCCTGGTCTTCAGGACATTCGTCATCAGCCCCCCCCTCCCCCAGTCCTCCTGCCAAAAGCACATGGGAACCACAGTGCTGTCCTCTCCCTTCTTGCAGATCACACAGCTGAAGATCGAGAACAATCCTTTCGCCAAGGGGTTCCGGGGCAGTGATGACATGGAGCTCCACCGAATGTCCAGAATGCAAAGGTAGGGAAAGGGGGTGGGGCAGACTTTCCCCACACCCCAGCAAGGCCCCCAAACTGCCTTCCCCCAGCTTCGCCCTCCCACAGCAGGGGACAGAGTGCCATCTGCCCACCTCCCCACTCTCCTCACAGGTGACCAATGCCACCAGGCCACCCAGGGGACATTTGTCCCAGGGGTTACAGGTGCCTCAAAGGGTCCTGAACCTGCTCTCCTCTTCCCCCACCCCCTGGATCAGAAACGACACACCTCTCCTTTTCCTTGGTGCTCTCTCCATCTCAGGAAGTTCTTCCTCTTTTCCTTCCCTAAGTCACAGTTGAATATTTTTTCTTCTTGGCACAGCTCTTGGCACATGGGAAGAGAAGGTCTGTGTAGAAAATTTAGGGAAAATGGTACCATGTGGCGTCCAGGGCAGGGGATTAGAAGCAGGTGGTAAAGTCTGGGCCGTCTCCTCACGTATTCTGTGGTCGGACAGACAGAGTGAGTGTAGGTTGTGGGAATCTGGTGTGATTTGATTCGTTCTGTGAAACATTCTTCTCACCTCTCCGTAGGCCTCCGGAATAACGTTAGCATATTCAGAGAATTAGAAATAACATCGCCATCTCTACGCCTTCCCCAGACCCCTGCCCTACTCTCCTCGTGGGTTTAGTGTTACAACACAAAAATGAAATATTTTCCCTTCCTGAGTGGAAGACACGGGAAAGTCTGGCAGTGTAGCAAAAGGGGAGGAAAGAGTGGGAAAGAGAGAGGGAGAGAGAGAGATAGATTCCACACGGCCCGGGGTTTCCATGCGGAAGTAGTTGTACACAGGGTTTTCCACTGGACACGTCAGTTTATGAATACAGAGCATCTTGGTGAAACTGATGTTCGAGTCAGTCTGAGCTTGAGAAGATAACCCGCAAAAAGCTAGCTTGAGGGTGTGGTTCAAGTGGTAAAGCACCTGCTGAGCCATCATAAGCCTTGAGTTCAAATCCCTGTTCTTGCAAAACATAAGCCTTGAGTTCAAATCCCTGTTCTTGCAAAATGAATACCACACTTTAGCAGAGAGGGAGCTGGTTTTTTTTTTGGGGGGGGGGGAACCTTCACGTTTACTCCTCTGGTGTTCAGATTCCACCCCTTCTGAAGGGTGTCTGTAAGGTAGGACCTGGCCATGGCATGTTCCCACCGTGCGGGTGGGGGCTGCCTAGCGAGAACCACCCCGCACACGCCTGGCACCGAAGGACCCTGGCCTCGCTCACAGCCTCCTTCCCCCACGGCCACGAGCAGGAAGCCACAGGCTTAAGGGTTCAGCAGCACTGCCCACACCCCCTTGCTTACTCAGTCACTATACCTGGTCCATCCGACCAGGTATAGCCTAAGCACAACCTCAACCACTGACCTTCTCTTTCTTACCTGCCACCCTGCTAATTCCAACCAGCCCAGCTCTCATCAGCCACCACAGCCTCCTGACTGACTCGGACCCCACCCTGCAGCTCTCTTCCCTTCCAGAACCTTCTTCCCCAGGCAGCTGCTGCAGAGATCTTGTAAAACCTAAGATAACGCCACTCGGGTCTCTTGGTTTTACCTTTAGTGCAGGGTCCAGAGACCTCTGCTCTGGGAGGCCACGCCCCATCCAGGCCATGCCCCCCAGTGACGGAGGAGGGGTGGGTGGGGCCTAGTTCTGGACCACTCTTGTCCTGCCTGCCCTGGGGTTAGCCAGGTCTCCTTCCAGTAGGAGCTTGGCAGATGGTGGGGCGGAAAGCGTGGCAGGTCCTCGGTGGTTGATGCTGGATTCCATCTTTGTGGCCCTGTGGGTTGTACTGGGGACCTGCGGAGTGAACTACCCACTGACCGGGCTGGGCGGGGTAGCCAGGGCCACAGGCTCCCTGATGCTCTTGGGGGACCATGAGGATGGAATATCGAGCGGCAGTGAGAGGAGGCCAGCCCTTGGCTCTGCTTTTTCCCGTCCTCGGGCCTCAGTGCCCCGCTCTGTGAAATGGGTACAGAGAAGCCTAGCTTCCGCTTTCTAGGGGACCGTGTGAACATGACGTGAGAAAGTGCTCGGACGGGTTGAATCAGATGCCCCCTGGCTTGGGAGAGCACTTCCTGCCCCTCTCAGCTCTGTCCTGGCGGGCGATGGATTTATTTTGGGCCGTGGTCCCAACCCCCAGGTAGTGACAGGGCTGGCTGGGGCTCTCGGGGTGAGTCTCGATAACAGCCAGGCAGGCACAGGAGTAGGGCCCCACTGTTAATCTTGTCATCCTGTTTCCTGTCCTCCACACGCCGGTGACAGCTGGCTGGCGGGAGGGACCGGGCTCCCTCTGCTTCCAACAGTGAGGAGAGGGGGTGGGGCCCTGCACCCCAGGGCTCACTTGGCCTGGGCGCGCACCCTGCTGGCTCTCCTCGCCTGACCCTGTTTGGGAAAATGCAGAGGATGCCTAAGTTATTTTCCACCCTCCATGGACGGTCTCAAGGAACCAGGGTGGTGGCTGCTGCCCGGTATAAAGACGGGAGCGTAATGCAAAGGAATGAAGAAAGCGTTTGAGCCACCAGTCTCCAGCGATGGAGGGAAACGTGCTCGGGATTATTTAGAAAGGCTGTCGGGGGCCGGCTGGAGATGGCGGAGGCTTGTGGTGTGGCGCTGTGACTTCATAGGGGTTGGGGGGGGTGAGATTAAGTTGGAAGTAGAGGGGGAGGGGGAGGGGGAGGGAGGAAGGAAGGAAGGAAAAGAAAATAGAAAAGAGGAAGGGAGGGAGGAGAGGAAGGGAGGGAGGAGAGGAAGGGAGGGAGGAGAGGAAGGGAGGGAGGAGAGGAAGGGAGGCAAGGAAGGAAAGAAGGGAAAGAAAGGAGGGAGGGAAGGAAAGGAAGGAAAGGAGGGAAGGAGGAAGAGAAGGAACAAAGGAAAGAGGGAACAAAGCAAAGACAGGCAGGCAGGAAGATGGAGAGGGAAGAAAGAAGGAGAGAGAGATGGAAGAAAGAAAAGGGAAAGAGAAAGACAAAAGAGAAGGAAGGGAGGAAGAAAGGGATGGAGGGATGGAGGGAGGGAGCGAGGGAGGAAGTGGTGTTCAGCAAGGGGACGGTACTAGCCGGGCAGCAGTATGTGGATGCTGAGCTGGGTGACTGCGGGCAGGGCAGGGCAGGGCAGGACATGGGCAGGGCAGGGCAGGGCAGGACATGGGCAGGGCAGGGCAGGGCATGGGCAGAGCAGGGCATGGGCATGGGCAGGGCAGGGCAGGGCATGGGCAGGGCAGGGCAGGGCAGGGCATGGGCATGGGCAGGGCAGGGCAGGGCAGGGCAGGGCATGGGCAGGGCAGGGCAGGGCAGGGCAGGGCATGGGCAGGGCATGGGCAGGGCAGGGCAGGGCATGGGCAGGGCAGGTGACCAGAACAGGAGCTGGGAACAGCGCCAGGCTCAGCTGGGGGAGGTCCAGAGCTGTGTCTTCACTGTTCTTCCTCAGTGGGCCTTGGGGTGGGCTTTGGACCACGTGCGGGCCTCCTGGGAGACACAGGCCCCACTGGGCCTGGGCTGGGATGAAGGACTCTGGGGACGGGTGGCTGCGATTTACACGTGCCGGGAGGAAGAATTTTCTGGAGTGGGACAGAGGAGCAGAGCAGGGAGTTCAGATTCAGGAGGTCCCTGGAAGGCAGCGTTAGAGGCCCCGTGGGGGTGAGGACAGCCGGCTCCAGAGATCCGGAGCACGAGAGGCTGAAGGGAGAGAAGACAGCGTTCAAGCCAACCTCTCCCTGTTGTACAGGGGAAGCGGAGACCCAGAGACGCATCTGTTTGTTTCTGGTTTGCTTTGAGGGCCACTGCCAGGGTGAAATGAAGAGTTAGAGGCTTGCGGTCTGAGCTGGGAAGGGGCCAGGTCCGCACTATCTCCTTGGAGGGCTCTTCCTCACCCTTTAATTTCCGCTAGCCCCTGAGTCCTCCCTCGAACCCGACCCCCAGTCCTTTTCATTCGTCTTTCAGAAAGGTATCTCCTCAGATCAGCCTCAGACCACAGTTCTCCTCCTTCTATCACCTAAAAGTAGCTGGGGCTACAGGTGTGCACCACCACATTTGACTTGGTTATTGAGATACGGTCTCACTAAACTTCGACCTAGGCCAGGTATGAGCTTCCGATCTCCACCTCCCGAGTAGCCGGGATTACAGGTGTGAGGCCCCTTAGGGTAATAGTGCCATGAGCTGAGGACCAAGCTCTCAATTCAAGGGCCTCTTCTCCAAACCACAGCCTGCAAAGCCAGTCACCCACTGCTGCGTAACAAATGACACCCGCACCCTCGCATGGCCCGCGGAGGGGTCTCAGCCCCCAGTCTGCTGCGTTCACTCTGTGTGTGATGACACCCCCCCCTCAGGCCAGCCACTGTGGGATCTTGGGGTGCCCTGGCTTTCCCGGTGACTCCGAGGTACACGTGACCGCGGCCGTTCTACGGAAGGCTCTGAGGCCCTCCCGGTCTCCCTGGGTCCCAGAGTTGCAATCTGCCAGATGGCGCTAACACCGTGCTAGAAGAGACCAGGCATTGCTGGGGTGCGTAGGGACAGCAAAAAGCACCACTGTGGGCATGGTTCCATGGGCAGTGCCAGGAGGCACCTTGGTTCTGCTCATCATTTGTAGGTCAGAGATTTAGGGAGGGAGCCGGGAGCTTGGATTCCCACAGCTGAGGACAAATGTCCCTACTCCCGCGACCTTCACACAGTGTCAGGTTTAGCAATGCCCTGCCGTGGGGGGTGGGGATGGGCATTGGCCCGGTACATCCTGGCAAGGCCAGACTCTAGGCGGACCTACCAGGACTGCCCAGCTCGTTGAGATGTGGGAGAGGGGCTGCTTTGATGCCCAGCAGTGACATGCCAACCCCAGAATCCATACACGCAGGAGCCCCGGACCCTTAGCTCCAGGTTTTTCTTCTCTTGCCCACAACGGCCACCTATTCTCAGAGATGGGACCAGGAACATTTCAGATACTGGACTTCAAAGTACTGGTACACAGCCAGGAGCCGGTGGCTCACGCCTGTCATCCCAGCTACTCA